AAGAATAAAATAATTTTAATAAATGCGTATATTAATGTTCGGATTGCAAAAAGCATCTTATTAAATTTGCGGACTTAATTTTTAAATCTTTTATTCGTGACTTTCGATAAGCTACTTAAGATGTCTTTATATCTTTTCATAATTATTTTATTTGCTTTTAAATTGTAGTTTAAGATTTAAAACTTTTTAATCTCGTATTTAATAGCGAAAGCCTTAGCAATTGCTTTATTTTCGAGTCTTTTATCGATAATCAGCTTTTCGAATAATCCGTAACGGCAAACGATATTTTCTTAAAAGAGCTTAATAATAGATTTAGCGTTAGCTAAACGAAGTAGTCGTCTTTTTAATTATTTAAATAGATCTTTTTTAGCTAGCACGAAGCAGGTTATTTTTTTATAGGCTGCTCCATGGGGCCCCATGGGGCCCCACGGAGTTTTGAGTCCTTCCCACGGGAGAACCCACGGGGGGTACAAAATTCTGCCCTCCTTATAGAAAAACCTTATAAGGCGTAAGGTTACTTTATAAGGTTTATATATATAAAAATATGCATATGCATAATTATTAATCAGGTTTACTTATCACATTTACTAATCACATTTACTAATCACATTTACTAATTACATTTACTAATTAAAGACTCAAAGTATTAGTCAAATTTATTAATTACAAAGGCTTAAGGGTTGGTAAAAACCCGTTCTTTAGCTTAAGTCTATTAGTTATAAGGAATTAATAAAGACCCGTCCTTTTGCAGTTACGTAGAATACGTTCAATTCGGTCTTCGCCTTTAGCTTGAGTTCTTGCTTGTAAGCATAGTTTAAATGAATCTCGTTTAACTTAAGTAGCTCTTTTAGCTTTTAGCACTTATTGCTTTACTTAAACTTATTTTTATTTAAAAACTTAAAAGTAAAGCGTTTATATGCTAAAGTGCTATCGATAGTAAAAGGGTATATTATTAATAGCTCTTTTAAGATGCTTTTAGCTTCGGCATGATCGCTATCGAAAAGCTTAAGAGTAAGATCACTTAAGATCAATCGAACTTTAATATCTTTATAAGTAAATTGCTTTTCAATTTAGTTAAGGAAAGAGATAAAGTAATCGAAAAGGTAAAAGACTTAAGCGCTTTCTTTTTAAATAAAAAATCAATCAATGATTATAATATATAGATATTATTACTAACTTTATTAGCACCGTAATGCTTAATGCCGAACTCGTCGATAAAATCTTTACGACTTTTTTATTCGTAATCGAAGCCGATTAGTCTTAAAAACAAAACGGTATATTTTCCGTTATAGCAAGTAAACATTGAATTAATAACGTTATTATCAACATAAACGATTACGAAATCTTTATAGCGACTAAGTATCTCGTTAATTAGTCGATTGCTATCGGTGCTAAAAGGGTTGACCTCGATTATAGCGTTATAAAGAGAAGGAATCGATATTATTAAATAAAGAAAATAATTAGCTTGAAGCAAGGAATCAAAAGCAAAGAATTAAAAAAGTAAAATAATTACTTCAATTGAATGTAGTTATAATTAAGTGTTAAAGTTAGTTAAGAAGTTAAGTATTGAGGTTAAGAAGTTAAGTGTTGAGGTTGAAAAGTTGAATAGAATATAGTTATAATAATAATAAAAAAAAGAAAAGGAAAAGGAAGAAAAGCGAGTATTTATATAAAAATAAAAATGTAGCTTAATCGTAGTCGAAGCATTGCTTCGATTTAATAAAAGTGAATTATAATATTTAAAACACGAACTCGACGCGGAACAAAGAAAATAAC